AGAAGAAAGAAGAGAGAAAAGAAATAGAAAAAAGAATATTTAAAGAAGCGACTCCCGACCTTCCTTGCATAAGTACAGGCAAATTAATATTTCCCCACTCCCTATAAGATTACATACATAATTCACGTCTTCCCATAATCCCCCTTATCCATTCACAAATCCAAAAATCATTGTTGTTTCTGTCCAAGTGTCAGCAAAAAAATCCATAAAGGATTTCCAGAGTTTTATAAAAATAATTCTTATTTTAATCCTGATCAAACAAGTCGACTTTATATTCTTTTCTTTTGTTTCTGACAATCTTAATCTTTAATTCATCAACCTGCTATCATGGGATTAAATCTCCATTCAATCTTTCTTTCTCCCTTCTCAAACATTCCTTCAAGGCTTTAGAAACCCTCTTTTATAAATCCAACAATAAGTCCTTGCCCAGGTCATTTTTCATCTCTTTATCATTTATAATTCCACTCTGATTATCGTCTCTGTTTTATAATCCACAAATTCTTTATTTTCCAATATTTCTACATCAACTGGGATTTGTTTCACCACTTCATCCTGTCTGCCTATAAATTCTTCATTGTTATTCTCTTTCACGTCTTTTACTTCTTCCTTAGAATCTTCTTCAAAGAATGTATTTACAGGTGCAGAAAGTTTTGCTGTCAGTTTAGTTACCAGTTTTTCTCCCAATTCTTCAAAGATCCTTTGAAATGTCTCAAGTATCATACCTTTGTCTGTCATTTTGTAAATTTCACTTTTTCCTGCCTGGAACTTTAGTCCCCTCTAGTATCCTCTTTCTGTATTCACAAAGTCTCAAGTTTCTTTGTTCTTAATTTCAACTTTGAACCAATGATCTCTTTCCTAATAGACTAAACAATTCATGTTCCCACGAAAATATTATTTTGTTTACTCAATTTTTCAAAAGTCTTAGCCAAAGTCCTAATATTCCAAATTTGTCTGGTCTCTTAATTTGATTAAAACTTTCTTAAATTTTTATTTAGTTTTTTGCCACTTATTTTATAGTCTTCAAATTCTTTAAACTATTAGTTATTTTTTCTTCTCTTTTGGGATGAAGTTTTACTCAACAAGTAGCTTTACAAACTTGTTGCTTGGAAGACCTCTTTTAACTTTGAAATCATTGCAAATCCAAGAGATTAGAAAATGAGGTTAGATGAACCCAGTGTCCTTAAAGGCTGTGCCGCAGTTGACAGCTTGATGGCTTCCCTCGTCTCCCAGCATTCAGACCTATGGGACAATCACTTTCTGTGGTCTCTTTGTGAGGAGCAGCTGTCTGGAGCACAAGTGGGTGATCTCTCATCCTCTCCTTGTCTGGAGATGTTCCGTTGGACTGAGCTTACCGATGATCTGTCAATTGTTACCGCGCTGTTGTCTCCACTCTTTTGGAGATGTCTAGTTCACTATTTTATCACCTGGAAGTCTTCTCCTCTTTAGTCATTTTCCATTTCAAGGATGCTCAACTCCAATTATGGTGTTTGGATGATGGAAGGAGTTAATCATTTATTTCCTATGAAGTCTCACTTGCAAATGCCCCTTCCTACTTTGTTAAAATGACAACAGAGTTCCCTTTCTCACCTACTGCATTTAGCTCTGACATTGCTCCCTTATATCTTGCTTTTAAAAATAACGTTTCAGCTTTCAGGCATATCCCTGTTCCCTGCTGGACAATAGCTTGATTATGTCAACCAAGACTGCCAACAAAAACATGTCAAAATTTGAAGGTACTTAAAAAAACAAGTGGTCATTCAATTTAATTATGACTACTTCAACATATCTTGTTACCCATCTTTGCTTGTTATGTAAGGAATAAAATAAAATAAAATAAAATCTTTATTATGGTCATAGACCAGCATAAGGAGGGTGGGATATAGTTGATTAAAAAGCATGACAGATACATCGGAGTCTATTAAAAAAAAAGTTTTGAAAAGCTAAAAGATATAAAACAGAAAGTATATATAAAAAATTAGACTCTGAAAGAATCTAAAAGGATCTAAAAAATATTGAAACTCTTAAATTTGAAACTCTTAGGTGCATGAATTGAACATATCAGCACTAGATTGAATATAGTTAAGTGAAGAGAAAGACTCAGTATTAACAAATATCTTCAAACATTGTCCTGATCTTTCAAAATCAAATCTTTATTATGGTCATACATAAGGAAAGTGGGGTACAGTCAATTAAAAAGCATAGAAGATACATCAGAGTCTAAAAAAATACGAAAAGCCAGAAGATATAAAAAAATATATGTATTAAAACAGAAAGTATATATAAAAAACAAGAGCCTGAAAGAATCTGAAAGGAGGGGTACAAACATTAGATGGGTGTAGGGGAGCATAAAGTTTAGCATGTGGAAGACTATATCAAATTACAGAGAACTCTAGTATGGTGTAGATGTTCATTAAGTCTAGTTTATGGCACAGACCATTATTTGACAAATTTTAATTGCTGCTGTGCAGAATCTGGCAACATTGTATGTTATACAGGGTTGGTATCCGAAAGTAGGAGACAAGTGTAAAATTGTCCTGTGCACCCTGGGTATTTATGCAGTAATGGTGAGTAATGAGGCTAGTACGAATGTCTCTGTAATTCAGGCACTGGAGAAGCACATGCTCTATTGTTTCTGTGTGTCGAGAGTCACAGAGGCATTGTCTCCCCGAGTAAGGGATCTTCCTGTATTGGCCTATTATGTAAGGGAAGTTCTATATTGCCAATTAAAAGATTAGCCATTGTTTAATAACATACACCATCTTTTTTGAACCCAATATCCTCTAGAGTGTTAGAGTCCATCATCTCTCCCCAAAAGAGGTAGGGATCAAGAGTGATAGGAGCTGCAATCTAAACATATATGGAGAACATTTTCCATGAGATACATGCTTTCACAAATGTCACTAATGCCACTCTGTGTGGTTATAAATATGGCTAGGATTAGGGTAGAACTTTACATCTCAATTTACTGAAGCCGTTATGTCCTTGATTGTATCCATGAAACCTGAAACCGGAGAAGCTTAAAACTGAACACAATTCTTCTACCACCAATAACTCCAGCGCAAGTTGATGAAAAGGAAATACCTGGTTGAACGCACTAGTCTGGCCAGCAGGGTGCGCTTCTCCTCATTAGAGAACTGCATGACACCAGGCGTTTCAAATTTCTGTCTTATCCACTGACATTGCTCAAGATCATTAATAAACATGAATTCTACTCCAATGTGCTGACAGTAAGCCATCTGTTAAAGAAAGGAAAGATGCAAGTTAGAGCAAAAGATTCAGCCATCTCCAAGCACAAATTAAAAGATTACTTTATATGAGCTATGTTTTAATTTTATTCATTTGTTTTTCTCCCTCTAAAGACCAAGTTAATAACACAAACATACTGTGATGATTAAGTCAATAGAGAAGGTCTAAGCCAGTTAGTGGAGTTTCAGATAAACTAGGATTTCAGTCCAAGTGCTGACAAATCAAATTCAACAAATTACGCACTAGTTAGACATTACATTATTACTGAAGGATGTAAACAGTCAAGATTTGGCATTTGAAGACTGTTTATGTAGTTATATTCAGTTATAAAATAAAAAAGTTGGTTGTTTCCAAGATTTTCAGTTAACAGTGGACATCAGGAACTATTAAGTGGAAAGATCAGTTGTAGCAGACAATTTTCCTATGAAAATATTGTTAGTTATGGATCTATGTATGCAACATGCTGTTGCACAGAAATGTTGATATGCTTTGGAGTGTGCCCAGTTTACATGAGATGCTGGCAAAAAGAGATAGTTCAAAATGTGTGGGAGCATGACTGTGGCATTACTTTAAAAAGAACCACACGTTTCTTTTTCTTCAGTCTTCTAGCTAAAAATTGCATGAAAAGAACTGCTTTAAGGAGTTGACTTATTAAAAGAAGCCACATTTTAATGAGAATGGCCTTGTCTGTTTTCAAGCTTATGAAGAAGCTGGGAAAAAAATGCAGTTGCTTTAAAAGGGCATAATATTTCCATGTTTTTCAAAGCACCTCTTTTGAATAATTTTCAAAGCAAGCACAGTCCTGCTATCCAGTGCACTCTATAATCTGAATACTTGCTAAAAAATCAAAGAAAGATAAACCTAGGTGCAAAATGCTTCTTGAAGGTAGGAATCTGAAAACTACTGAATTTACACTTCAGGTAACTGACAATACTAGCTATGCCAGGGACGGATAGAGGGACTATAAACAGAGCAGCAAGGAATGTTTGGCAAGAAATGGCATTTAAATAACCTTGTTGGAAATTATTTTTAGCCACAGTTGTGACGCTGAGAACATGAGCAGAGGACAGAGAGCTATTTCCTTCATCAGAAAGTAGTGCTACTTAATGAAGGATGGAAATTAGAAGCTGGCTATCAGGGGAAAGGAGAACAACCCTAAAACCCAGAATAAATGGGAAGCTGGGCCAGGGAAAAAACCCTGCTAATGAGGTAGCTGATGCTTCATTTCTACATAAGGCAATTACAGCAGTCTATAAAGGAGTTACTATGACCTTGAGATTTTATTTTTTTTTTGCTTTCCCTTCCCATATCCTCCTCCTCCTCTTCAGTTTTGTTTTTTAAAGAGTCAGCAACAGCTTTTTTTTTTAACATAGTGTGCAAAGAGTCACCCATTATTGTCAAAGGAAACTCTGTGGCTGCCAGGAAACAGAGGAAGAAAAGTGCTTCCTTTGGGAATGGCAATTTAAGCTTTCGTATGTACGTATTTTCCACAATGCATCCTTTTTTAGAATAGATCACTCACTAGATCAGCTTTGCACTTTCCTGATTGTTTTGCACATTTTAGTTTTTTATTTTATAGACTTTCTAAAATAGTCACTCAGCTTGCACAACATGCTAGCTAAAATGGGGTTGGCTAGTTTGTACTTCAGGGTAGTGTGAGAACCAGTTAGTGCAGCCAATTTATAGTTCGGTGTTTATGAGCTCAGACAGTTGGGTTAATTTGGTAAACCTTGGTTTAGTTAATTATGTGGCAGAATGTTGTGCAAACATGGCTGAACTGATCTGATACCAGATATCAAGTAGCTTCACAATTTATTTCGCCTAAAATAGATTCTTAGATTTAAGATTATACATGGCAGCACTTTTTCTGAAACACAAAGTTTCCATAAGTTTTAAAAGATTCTTGTGTTCATGCCAAAGCTCGCAGACACAGAGGCAGGCCTTTTCTATGATGGTGTCCACCCTACAGAACAGCCTCCCTCCTATATTATGCCAGACTGCCGTGCTGGCATAATATTTTGATTTTTTTCCAGTCACTAACTTCTTCTATTGCTTATTGTTTTACTGGATTTTTTATTGATTTATAGTAGTCTTCTCCTAACTGAGTACCCTCCAAATCTGTGGACTTCAGCTCCCAGAATGCCCCTAGCTAACATGACTACTGCTGAGAATTCTGGGGGATACAGAGGCTGGGAAAGGCAATTTTACATAGCAGGTTTATGCAGCTTCAGATTCAAAGGGAAAAAGGTACCTTGGATCACATTTAGGCACACATGTAGCACCTACTGGCAACTCCTTAAACCAAACATGCCTTTTCCTGGGATTGCACTGTAGTCTAATTATTTATTTTCTTTCATTCTGTAGAATCTGTTACCAGAAGCACAATCACAAGCTATTTTATGCCCCCCAAAGGGCTACAAAAAAGTGGTCGCAGAACTGTCCAACATAGTATTGGTTTGCTCTGGTTCTTCACACAAGTGGGGATCACTTACAGCAGCATAGCTTTTAATCATTGCAGTGTAGCTGTCCCACAATCAAGGCAACAAAATTAATCAGAACCACAAACTCAATTCAAAGCAACTGTGATCTGAACTCACAGTCAGCCTCTCTCACTTGAACTCAAACCAATCAATAAACCTGAAGCCAGTTAAGTAAACTGAAGCCAGAGAAAGTCCTAGAAAAAAGAAAGTATAGCCTCTGCCAGCGAAATAGCGTAAAAACCAGTGGCTCAGGCTAATATTCTGAATGCATGCTAAGAAAAGACCCTGTTTCTACTGCTAATTTGGAAGAGAAAAATCTGGGATTTTAAGGTTGTGGCTGGCACATGTTCCACACCTTTCTTTCTCTCTCACAGACACCTACAGAGGCACACGCTGCTTTCCCCCTCTCTCTTATGCTTTAATTCACTCCATGGCTTCCAGACTAGTTCATATGGTATACAAAGCGAACATCCCACAAGAAGGCCACTGCTGAATAATTCATTTCTAGATTCATGTGAATGAACCATGTCTCAATACAACCAAAAGAAGAAAAACATGATTATCAACTAGTAAATGTAACCCTCTTAAGATGTAAAGATTCAATATACTCTAAAGTATACCTTTCCCAAGACTAATTAGCCACTCAGATATTAGTAAATAAGCAAAAAAGGTGGCCACTAACTGTAACAATGTATTCATATTCTGTTGTTAGTATTTTTGCTGCATCTTAGCATAAACAGTTTCAATATATTAGGATATCAGATTCCTTTTAGGTTTAATTATTTAAATTAGTCTTGCTGATTTTATAGATTTAATGCTCATAATTCTATGTTATAATTTCTTACTGTATTCACAGTTGTATGGATTCCTTATTGTATTCTACTATATTTTATTTTGTTACTTGCTGATCATTGAGAGAAATAATGTCTGCCTCTCTCTCTCTCTCTCTTGGATGTCAGAAGGAAAACGGAAAAACATACCCTGTTTCAGAACTGAATTTGCCAAATGTACTCCTCTACCAATTGTATTAGGAGCAGAACATCATTATCAGAACCGGCACTGGTGATAACAATTTCCGCAGCTTGTGCTCCAGAGAACTGCTTCATATCCCATGTTTCTCCTATGTGTGGAACAAGCTTGGGAACATGTCTCATGCTACTTTCCTGCCAATTTTTGTCACTTTTTTCACTTAACACACTTTGGGTAGCTGTAAGTTTGAGAGAGAAGCCCACAACTGGCTTTGCTATGCCTACAAGATAGAATAGGCCATAGGTTCCCAAAAATGCTTAGGTGGCTTTCTTACCTCCAAACGGCGGATGATTTCCCGAAGCGGAAGAGCAGACTCATTTCCTCCAATGAAAGTCGTAGTAGGCAAGTGAAAGACTTTGTCAAGGTCTGATTCATCTAGGCCATAAAACCCTGCAGGATTTTCATAGGTAGCAGAAGGCAAAGGAGGATTGGGGAAGGTGTTCAGTTCAAGACAGTCGTAACACAGGAACCAGGTTTTTGGTAGAGATGGGGAGGGACAAGAAAAGCAGCACAAAGTAAGCATGAAGGAGGTTTGTATGAACAAAACACAAGCAGGAATTAAAATATTGGACAGGTAAAGTAAGAACAAAAGAATTATAAAACTCACACAGCATATGAACATAAGAAATATACTTGCCATGAAATTTGGTAATTAAACCCAGGAAAGCAATTAATAAGAAATTTAGACCTCCACACATACATTTGTGGAACATAAGGGGATACAAGTACAGCAAACATATATTGCCACCACATTCCACCACGTATTCAAAATTAAAATAAATTGAAGCAGGAAATGAAGAGTTAAAGGATCAATTTCCCAGAACCAAAAGTATGAAAAGCTGCAGGATGATATAGAGTTCTGCAGAGGACTCTCCTGAATAGCTCACTACAAAGAAACAATGATTTTACAGTGAAGTAGTCTTTGTGTAAGCAAAACTCTTTCTATAAGCCTCACAAACACTTCACCTTCTGGAAATCTTGAAAGTATTTCTCAACAATTCACTTAAAGCTATTATCAAAAAATCTTTCCTATGTTAACTACACGATAGCTAGACTATAACAGTAGTAACATTAACATATTTTTGCATCAGCTGCTGGAATAATTAAAAATAGTTCCGCAGCTGATGATCACAAAGCCGAAAAGATGATTGTAGAAAGAAACATAAACTTTCAGAAGTGCCAATTTTGTATTGCAGCCCAATGAGAACAAAACCAAAAAACTTAGCATCTATCAGCTATCAGGCAACTACTGTAGACAAGATATACCTATTTTGAAATTACTCCCTCATCTTTCACTCCAACTAAATGCTAATATCAGCAAACCGAAAAGGATTAAGGACAACAGAATAACTGATTTATCACAAAACACAAAAGAAACTAGAAAAAAGACCCCCAGTTATAGAAAAGGCCAAAATCATATAAAGGCCAAATTCCTGATGGGGGAAAAACAAAACCACAAGAAGGTTGGTAAAAGCTCCTGGATTGCTGGGAGTGACCTACAACTCCTGGGCAGCAAATTCCATACCTTGGTTGCTACATCAAGAAGGCTTTTTCCCCCAGATTTCTACCAACTATGCTTCAGATGCAGCCGGATACACTGAACCTCAATGGTTGGAAAAGACTGTGTAGGAGGCTATTCCATTCTTCTCACTTTAACAAGATTACAAACTCTTCAAAGCAGATCAACAGGAAAAATAAATTCATGTGATGCTCCCTATAGGGCTAGCACCAAGAGCCACTCAATTCTCATTTTGACTACAATGTTTAGTCACCTATACCATGTTGCTTACACACAAGCAACCACCAATGTTGGAGAATAATGGCAAAGAAAATATGAAACAAGTGTGATAGGGATACTGGAGAGAAGTAATGTTTGGCTGGTTAATTCACTACCTTAGGTAGAGAATGACTTGTTTTTAAAATACATATTTTGGTCCAAATCTATACTCAGCTGCTTAGAACTTCTGAATAAAACATAAGATAGACATCTACTGTAATATATAAAAACATTTCACATTGTAGATAGTTGGCCTGAAAAAGCCATAGGTCATTCTCTTCCTTAAGCCAAAATACAATTATTTTTATTGGGAAATGTGATTAGAAGAGTTGTTTATATAAGCATAAAATCTGCATGAAAGATAGATAATTTCCTCAGTACCTTACAGTGTTGTGCATATAGCCATCACAAGAAGAAACCCAGATAAACTGCTGAACATCAGTAGGCTGCTTTTACATTTTAAATCAACATTGTTCCTTTCAACCGTTAGATTAAAAAAATACACATTTTCAGCTAGAAGGCTGCAATTAAAGTGCTCAGCTATTCTGCAAGTAAACAGAACAGGGTTACACAAAAGGATGGCACTTCTTTTTTCTTTTAGTAATGCAGATAAATCTAGCTATCTACCTGAACATCACACCCTAAACTTCACTATCCACATAGAACATTCTGCACAACAAAAGTAAATACTGCACAGCAAAATAAAACAGAAGTAAAACTCAGCTTACATATCACAACCAATTCTATATGCACTCTGATGAACATCCAGTAACAATTACATTTTAGCAGAGACCAATGTGTTAAAGCACAACAATGCTTTCTGAAATGTTCAATACAAGCAAACAAAAGCAAATAAAGAGAAAATAACTACCACATTGAACCCAATGAAAGAGAACATAATTTAGGAGCGTGACTGATGAAGCGCTTTGATCACACACATCTCTCTCACTGTTAACATTGAAAGCGATTCTGGGGGGAAAAGACAAAAAAAAAAAAAAACTGTTGTAACATGGGGCAAGTTGTAACTTTACCTACACTGTACATGCCCAGAGTCAACTATTCAGAGAGTCCTAAACTCCAGAAGGGTTAAACGCTCATTATTTGCATACCTCCTACTGTTAGCACTCTCAGCCGCTCCTTGAATACAGCAAGATCTGGGGAAGGAGGGAAAGGTGGGGTGCAGAAAGGAGAAGACAGAGAGACTGAGTCAAAGTTAGTTTTCTTTTAAATTCCAAAGAATTGAGAAAGTTGTTGTATAAAGAGAAAGTAAGTTTTTAAAAACAGTATCCACACATACACGGTCAAAAACCACCAAAGAAAAGAGGTTAGAACGGAAGATGACTACTCCTGGAGAAAATCTGAAGAATCTTTCAGAACCAGCCATATTGACCGCAAAGAGAATAAAATAAGCACAGCAGTTACACCTGACAGATAACAGCAGTTAAGTTACATGTTTGGGATTTCATTGCTTATGCAAATTTTTTAAAAATCCTAAACTTTAAAGTTGTAAATGCCCCTAGGACAAATTGTGTTTTTAGATTTTGTAAACCACTGCATTTGCAAGGTATAAGATTGCATAGGATTCACACACTTTATCCTACCATATCCTGTGCTATAGACTAAACTGAAATATATCAAAGACTAGCAAAATGTATAGTCTTGTCTATATACCTAAACCTTAAGTCAACAATCTAATCAAGGACAATTCTGGCTTTCCTATTCTTATCTTTGTTTATCCAAGTGAGAACCACACTTCCTTTGAGAACAAGTCTATATTTTCAGCTCTATAAATATATGGAATTATTACTCTTTTTCTAGATTGTCTCTCTGCTCCTCCACACGACAGAATACAATTCTGTCAAACAAGGAGATCTCCAACAATAATGTGACTGGATGTAGTCTGCAGACACATTACTTTCTGCATCTTCTTGGATGTCTTCATACAGTACAGTTAAAACTGCAGGATTCTTTTCTTCAAAATGTTTTAAATTCTGCCGATTTGTGTTTTAACAATGTTAGGCAAATGAATGGATGAAAAGATTATCAACAGCTACTAGATGGCTATAACCTTCAGTATCAGAGATAGCATATATCAGTTACTAGGACAAGCTTTTATTTTGCTTGTGGTGTTTAACTGGCCTGGAGGATTAGGACAAAGGTCCTGTTACATTTTTTAGAAAAGGATACAGTGATGCATTGCAACTGCCTTTACTCCATTGCATATTTCATTCTGCCACTGATTTTCACCACTATGCCAGAGACACAGCATGACATTTCAGTTCCAGAATGATGCAGCTGATTATATGGATTTGGAATAAGCGTATGTGGGACTCTATAGCTACTATCAATTTCTGGATGACTTGCAACATTATACATTCTGCATTGTCTAACAGAACAAGCAAAAAAAATTGAAGTCCTACAACCCTCTTTAACTTAATATTCCTGAGATTTTAAAGTTGGGGCAATTAGGAATTTCCTGGGGACAACTCTCCAATAAGATTTATGATGGGAATGGGATAACTTTTATAGAATTGTGAGAGGACATTAAGTTATGAATCATCAAAATAATTATATGCCATATTCTGAATCTTCCTTTAGTTTTTACAATATAGTCCTGAAGTCTTAAATCCCACATTTAGAAGCAGATCACTTCACAGGTTTCTGGGTCTTCCTGCTTACTTGGCTGAGATGTCTTCTTCATATTCTCCCAATCCAACTCTCAATCCATTACATATGGCAAGGAGCAGGACAGTTATATGAACCTTGTTGGAGGAAGTTCCGATGTGTTCTGAAGTTACAGACTACCTTTTCCCAATTTGGTATTCTTCAGATATGTTCAAATTCAATTCCTAGAGTTTCCCACAATTACTATGCTGCTTGGAGAATTCTGGGAGTTGAAATCCACATATCTGGAGTGTGTTCTGGCTGGGCAATGCTCTTACAGATTAAAATGCAAATGAAATGTGGAAAAGGATCAAAAGTGAAACAATATGAATATGATTTTGGCCATTGCTCTTAGGTAATACAAACTTAGCTAGCTTCATTCTAAAACTCTTGACTAAGATACTAGCTTCAAAGAAGTTGCACATCTCTTCAATAAACTATATCAGCTAAAGTTTATTTTGTTTCAGTTAGAGGCAAGAGCAACCCTATCCAAGTCTCCCTGAACTACAGTCAATACAACTGAAATATTGTACCATCTTACTAGAGGATCGCCTTTATCAGTAGATGTGATGAAGTGTGTTTTACCCAGCTCTTCCTATCTATCTATCTATCTGTCTGTCTGTCTGTCTGTCTGTCTATCTATCTATCTATCTATCTCCAATTATGAATGGCATCCATCTTTCATGCAGTTTTCCTATTCTGAATGTATGCGTATGGTTTTAAGCAAAGTACTGACCTTCTTTCATAAATATATGGCAGTGAAATTATGTAAAGGGCAGAAGGAACGGCCTTGAAAGACAGAAAGAAGAGCCGTTACCAAGGCAATGGTCATATAAATGGGGCCTGAGCCCAGGTCAAGAAAGTAACTTGAGAAAATGTCTTAGACAGGCCCCTCCCTAGTTCACATGGAGATACAGGGAGGGAGGGAGGGGGGAGCACATTAAGACCTGCAAGATTCTGTTACTATAGCTGTTATAATAAAAGTAGTACTGATCAACATGGCACTGGTTTCTTAGTCTGGTCTACCTTTTAAGGCTGACAACAACCACTATGCACAGAGCCCACACTATTTATTTATATTTGGAACAATGTATTTGTATTTTAAACTGGTATAATATTGAAAATACAACCCTTAAATTTCTTAAATAATATCCAACATTAATTTAATGCTTTTATTCGAAAAAATTCTCATAGTTTCTACATTCTAATAAAATATTCACATCACAATTTCAACCATTCAACAGATTCAACAGAAGGCAAAAGGTAATTCACAGATGAAACTGCCTGAAGCACCTATTATGAAAATACTTAAAATACTTCATAGCTCACAGCTGGTTATTTTAGAATTACTGTTTAGCAACATTCCTTCTTCGTACCATCCAGTTGTGCCCAACAATCTTAACATCAATAATTGTCCATCGTCACCTTAAACTGGGTCTGTTTAAATATGAAATCTTGTCATCAGTTAAAAGATCAAGCAAGATCACAGAAAATCCAGTTTAAAGTCAGCCTATTAAAGCTAAAGCTATGATAGAGAAACAGCTATGTATGGTTATTCATTCTTTAGCTATGAGGGAAGGAACACAGCTCAGTGGCAAAGCACATGCAAAATTTCCAGGTTCAACCTCTGGCATCATCACTTTAAAGGGATTAGGTAGCAGGTGTTGCAGAAGATCTCAGGCCGGATACTGAGAACAGCCACTGCCAGACAACAAAATATTGAACTATGAGGGCAAATGCCTGCAGTAGAAAGTGGTTTGAAATATATGCCATGGTACATAAGGCAAGAATTTTAGAATCCTGAAAAATCTTCTAGTCCTTCTAGTCAGAACAAGTTGGGGAATGTGTACCAACACCTAGAGAAGTTTCACAAGTTATGATGGTAAACAGGGAGAAAATGAAAACACAACTTTTAACAGCTTTAATTTTTATTAATTTAAATTCAGGTTGCAGAATTCAGCTTTTTTGCAATAGAATTGCAGTTAGTTTTGATTATTACACTATAGGCTGAAACACCATTGTTACATCAAGGGTAATGTGGTTACAATTGGCAACATGAATGACTTTAGCATCTCCACTATCTTAATTTGTACTATTCTGTCCTAAAAGTGACTCAGCATATGAAGTGGCTCATGTTCAACAGAACACACCCCAAATACTGCCCTGAGAGGCCAATAAAGCTGTATAAGGTTCTGCATAGATGATAAAAAAATATAGCTAATGAATTGTTTCAAAATATTTAGATCTCTCTTATTAAAGTTATCCAAAGCATTTCATACACACCTTCTTCAGGGAAAACAGTGAATTTATAAACAGCAATAATAATTAATATTTTAGGATTTATATAGATGAATACCATGAGAAAAGTCAGTAATGATAATCTCAATAATCTCTTGATATTTAAATGTAGTACTATTGATACAGTACTAATAGCAATAGAGCTATTCTTAAGCAATGGTAAAGTAAAAAAACGGATTATGGAGTCAAATTTCTTATTCTTCTGGGGCCACACTTACAATCCTCCCACATACAGAGACATGTACACCGTTAATTCCTTCTGAACTCACCAAACCTCCAGCACACTCTATTATCCTAAAACAGTTATGCTTGCTTAAAGTGAATCTTTAATCTTTGTGAAATGTGGAAGGAATTCCACAGTATATACCCCCAATATTGGGGATCTATTAGGGCCTGGTACAACCTTCTGGGTTTTGGAGTCCTGCTTAATATACGGGGGGCAACAACTTCAGAGTGGAGATTTAGCAAAGTGAACTGCACTCAATGTGTTTTTAGACAGTCACCAATGTTATGTTGCTGTTTTCTTAGTTGCCTTCCATTTCACCAATACATACACCCATACACACACACACCATCTAATGGTTACACACTGTCAATTCTGAATGAGTCAACAGCACATCATTTATTTTACATGCACATATATTCTAATCACATTTTAGTCTTGAAAGGGGTTAGTTGTCATTATTGTTACTCTATTCTAAGTTAGAAGCATGCTACTTAGAAGCATTTGCAGAGCCAGGTTGATTAACCTGTGGAAAGCACCAGCAATCAGAAGAGCTCAGCCACCATATCTTGCCCTGCACTGAAGGAAAAAAATAGTGGCCAAAATTAATTAACACAATGAGCAATACTGGAAAACCAAATTCCAAGTATTGCTCAGCATGTACACCCTCACCTGAGTACCACACATGCACCTTTCCAGACAAGGATCTGCATCATTTCAGTCTTTTGATTAGATGTGGGAATGCATTCCAAAGCTTCCTTATCATGATCACTGATGGAGTCATTAGTCAAAGTTGAAGCAGTGTATATGTGTCTTCTTAGCTATGCAGCTTGCCCTAAATCATGCATTTACCTGAAGTGAGTGAGTAAGACATCTGAGAAACTGTCTCTCTTTCCCCACTCCTTCCTACAATAGCCATCAGTATAGAGCTCCAGGCTGAAGAAGTCACCAGAGCTCTAAACAAGAGCTCTACTGACCTTTAGAATACTTTCAGTTAAGGAATGCTTATGTGTCCATCACTCTAATACACTCATTCTCTTGGAGTGGCAGAATGTTCACAGTTGCTAGTCAGACCTTCTTACAGCTGGACTCCAAATCACAAGAAATGTAAGGAGGAGAGAGCAAGCTGTCTTGAACTGGGTATGCTATCACTTGTGCTACAGTGGTAAGCGACTGGGGACAGATCAACACTGCCACCATTCATTTTTTTTTGAAGTGATCATTAGGAAGGAAACTTAAGACCTTTCCCTTCAAATTTAGTGAAGCAATCTATCTAGAAGCTGTGAAAGTGAGAGAGGAGCCCAAGCAATGCGGCACTAACTGCTTTTGGAGCCCTCACCCAGTTTGTCTGCGGAACTGATAATATCGGCTGGAATGGAAGAGTCCAGATCAGCATCCAAGATGCCCAATGGGTCGAGCTGGGCTACATGATGCCCTCGAATCTATGAAATGGGCCAGAAATGAAAAGGATAGTGGAAACCAAAAGAGGGAAATGGGGGGGGAAGGGGGGGGAAGGAAAGGGGTATAAAAGTTAAACATTATATTAAAATTAACTTGCAGAATAATTCTCACCAACGTTTGGAGAATCAGTTACTGTCGAATCATCAAAATTTACACAACTAATGCCGAGAGGATCAAGCTTGGCAATGTGGTGACCCCTGACCTAGAAACAACAACAAAATTAGTCATGAAGTTCCATAACAATCATCCTTCCCATTGCAGGATTTCTGCAGTATTGAATTTATCCAAATCAATGCTGCTGTATTTCAAGAGAAATATGAATTTTAAAACTAGCCTGCATTCAAATACTAATGTATTTTTCTTTGAAGTACCAAAACATGAAGTATTTAGTAACATTTGTGGCTACTTATTATTTTAAAATCCCTTTTTTTTATTAAACTGGAAAAAAGATAAGAAAAAAACAAACAAAAATGATACATAGAAGGATATTACACACACACACACACACATTTATATACAAAAGTTTCATGAAATAATTACCATATTTCATTATAATCACATATATATTGCTATAAGCAACTCATTCATAAGTTGCAAGTAACATCAGGTCTTCAGACCACTGAATAATTGGGGCTATAAATTTATCTTTCCAGTGTTAAAGCATAAGTCTCTTAGCAATAAGGACTTGGAAAATCAATTTCCATTGTCCAGCTGCTAATTCCATGTATAAAGAATCATAGTCCAAATGGATATGGACATCTGAAAATATTAAAACCTGTTTTATAAACACTCTCTCTCTCTCTCTCTCTCTCTCTCTCTCTCTCTCTCTATATATATATATATATATATATATATACATATACACACACGCAGAGAAAGAGAGACAGAATTCTTTCCAGAATATAACTATTTTAGGAAAAGTGAAGAAATGTATGCTTGAATGACACATTATTCTCATTGTGTCTCCAGCAATGCAATGATTTACTCATTCCATTTTAATACAAATGCAATTAAATCCAGTAAGTCCAAATATTCTTTGTTGAATAAGCCTTAGTCTAAAATCTGTTGAAATGAGATGTTAAAACAGTATCCCAAAATGGAGATCTCCTGCTCCTTATTTCGTATAGACTTTAGTATTTGCATATCAAATTGATTTATCTGCAACGAGTATTTAAATATTAATTACGGGGTTATTCACCATTAAATTTGGTGAAATGCTGCTGGTCCAAATCAATATGCCAGTTGATGCTGTGAATATTGTTATTAGGCAGCAAAAGAGAAATTATATTTATTTCTTTAACATAGGAAATACAGTAATAAAAACTCATCATAATCATTTACTTTTGTGGCTCATTATAACAATGCTCATTTGAAAAATAGAAACAAAAGCACAAATAATTTCTGTAGCTAAAGTTTACAAGTTTATTCTGAGAAAGTCACACAGAGAATGCAATTTCCATTAGACCATTTTAATTCTAATTCTCCTATTTACTGTGTTGTGTTAATTCTAATGCTTGGACAACAACCACACAGATGAAGCCATAGGTGTCTGGGGTTTTATACTGTTCTACATATCAGATGGAAATTTGAAAGACATGAACAAATAAAATCTTGGGCAATGTAGTGCAATTTCTTCATTTGCTAAGTGTACACACTTCCTCAGTCTAGCAAGAGTGGAACATATTAAGATATAATGATCTCTCTGGAACTGATCCTGTTAAGGTATTTTTTTTTCTTATTTCCCTATATTTATGTATAGTATTTTGACTGGAAATCTTCTGTATGGTTCAAGAAAATCCAGTCATCTCTCTCTTTGCAATAACAAAAGGTTTCATGTAACTCTTCTCACAAATTGGCCTGTGCAATTTGAGAGGTCAGACCAGGATGCAGATTTGAAAATAAATGTTATGTCTAGAAATATGACTAAGTATGGTAGGTACCCATCTTATCCTATCTACAATGAACAGTTTTAACTATGCTGAAATTAATTTTTTCTTCTAGTTTTATGTATAAGAAACTGTCAATGTTTTTGACATTTATAGCATTTCTTCGAAGATGTTTCTTTAAGCTGTGCTATCTCAAAGCAAAACATAATTTTGTTAAGGAGAAATTGTTCCTAAAAGATGCATAAGGAACAGAGATCCAGATTCCTAATTCTTGATAGGAATGGAATGACCCATCTGGGAACTGTACCAGATGGTCTAAAGGGCAGAAGACTTACCCAGTGAGATTATCACTGCTCTGCTCAGTTCCAGCTCCTGCCCATACTAACAAGCCGTTAGGTTAATTACACAGATTAAATGCTACATACAGGTACTGCATAAAGCTGCATATTGAAAAGGTTGTCTCATTTGTCTATTTTTTTTTCACAACAGTGTAAGTGAGAAGTCTTACAAGTTCAGGTCAATTCAACTCAATGAATCATTTCATGCATAGTATTACTAATATATAATTAATAACAACCAGTTTTTTGATTCTAAAATATGAACAATATAACAAGAGCAATCATAATAATGTTCTTAAGCAGGTAATTTCCTGAAATATGAAACTATTTTAAACATTTTTAATTACTGCTTCATGGTCCATTACAGACATCTCAATGAGAACACAGAATGGGAAAAATGAAACCACTGTTTTAATCAAGAGGAAAAAAAAAGGCTTTGAAAAGCTTTTAATACAATATAATACAAATGATATAACACAAGGACTGACAAATTTTCAAATCTTGGAACGCTATTCAGTTTTTAAAAATATGGTAGGAACCTCATGAGATCTTGGCAATTTCATTTGCACAACCATACTGAAAAATACCTGAAATGAAGTAAAAGCTGTACATGCTGTGAATTAGACCAAGAATTAGACCAATGACCATAATAATTTTTTTTAAAACAAATCCACTACAGTATGGACTAAGACTCTATATTCTGCTATACTGTATTTCTATAAGGATGCAAGAGTCCTCCTTATAAGTCTCTATTTAACAAAATACCCAGGCAATTCTGGTTTACTCTATGTACAGATGCTACTAGCAGGCCAGTATGATTCAGTTTCTATGAGTGTCCAAATTTTACTATACTGTTTGTAAAACCAGACACACTCTGGTTGCATCGATTATCTTGCCATGAACTGTTTTAGTTTGTTTCATTTGCTGTTAACTTGTATTCTGGTCAGTGACTGTAATAAAGTAAAGCAAGTTGACCAAAAATGCTCCATTCTATTTAAGTACCAAGTTCAAATCTCTAGACTTGTGGCTGACAAAATAATTATTTGTTACATACAAATTAAAAAACCATTAAAAAAAATCCTTACCTGATATGCCCTAATAAGTGATTGGACTGCAAGATGATCTTCCACCAGCTTATCTACATTTGGCTGTGCTTGAACCAAAGACTGTGCATGTGTCAGTGTTGATAGGCTGGTATTTAATGGAGGGGGGCTTTGGTAAGCAGTACCTGGAGCAGCTCCAGCATTGGCATTGCGAAAGAATATGTCCCATGACTAAAGAAAATAAAAATAAAAGTCCATTTTATAGGGAATTGCTTAATAATCTATTTTAACAAAGGCAAATGCAGAATTACATTTCTATAGCTTCCACAAAGAAGTACATACATTACTATTACATACATCACAGTAGTACATACGCAGAGATACCCAAAATGTAGTTACTGCCTCCCCTTAATTCATTTCATATGATAAGGGTTGTAGAACATGGGGAATAGCAATGATAACCTTTATCTTCTGTGTTCTTTTGATTTAAATCTCTATATTAGTCCTGCTAATATAGAACAAAAAAGGTACCTGACTGGAAAAGAAAAATAAGCAGACTGGAATAGACAAAGATCAAAATCAGAAGAATCCTCTCTCCCTCTCTCTTATTTAGTCCAATTGGGGGGGGGGGGAGGCAGGAGTTTACAATAATACATCAAAATAGTTCAATACCTCTCTAGCATTGTTGCACTGATCAAATTTTAAAATAAAAACTGGTCCTTGCAATGAGGGCCAACTGGGTATAGCAGGAAAGAAAGGTTCATAGCTTCCAATAGGAAATTTAAAGTGCCTGTGTGATTACCAAGATTTTTTTCAGTCTTGCTTCTGACAAATACATGAACAATGAAAAAGCAATGCTTAGGACCAGCATTATCTTCCTGGAAATCAATGAATGACCAAACAGAAAGCATTTACCACATGTTGTACTTATACGCATATGCAATAGATAAGAAATATATTTTCCAACATTCTGTGACTGTTTGACTTTGCCCTGGATATTGATGGTTAGAAAACAATGATAACAACTCATATACAGATTATTTTAATAATCTCATTTCTTTACACTAAGGGACATGAACACAACATTGCCCACAATACCATAGTTTATTCATATTCTCTCACATTAAAAAAAGTTATTAGATTCTCAAAGGAAATGTAGGTAACCAAAAAGTTATTTTGCTTCTCCAATTTAAATATTGTTGAGTTCACAGAAGGTAGTTATGTTGAACATCTGCCTTTGTCTGTTACATGGCATATCCATGTAAAATGGACAAGGAATAAATATAGGAATCTGATAATTATATGCACCATTGTTATAGAAGGTTTCTTGGATGTCAAAAGAGAAAAAGATATCTTGTAAACTCCTGCCAATTTAATACTGTAGTAGTATCAATCCCCATTATTTCCTACTGAACCTATTTTCAGCATCAACTTTTTACGTAAACTATATATCACACAAATATACAAGATGAATTTTAGGACAAAATCAAGACATACCAACACGGATCTTGGAAAAACAGACTCTGGGCTATGATTGTACAATGTTTCAGATTTGATTCCCAAATGGTGCTTTGGACACAGCAGACAATATAGAGGTAGTACCTATCTGCAATTGTTTAAAGCAAACACACCTTTTCTTGAAATCAAAGAACTTTTCCAAATTATTTCCAAAGGGCCGCATAGCCTTGGACCCAGTGGAATTTCAGATACGTTTCTTGACTAAGCAATAGTCCATGCTTTGTCATGACATAAAACAAATTTCTTTTCAAAACCCAAAACAAAACAGCTCTCAGGATTAGTTCTTATGATAAGGTTATATCTTATTGCCCTGCCAGATAGAAAAGCAGTCAAGGATCAAATGGAGGACTCACAAGTCCTAATATAAAACTTTGACCTCTATTGCAATAAATTACTCAACTGACCATCATAAATGTGACAACATATGGTAAGAAACATTGGTTAGGACTCTTATTGACCCACAGGACAAAGAGTACTATTTCTTCATAACCTCTCCAATACTGTCTCTATTTCATCAATATTTAATTAACAAATTTATTTAAAAGAAAAGATTTATGGAACAGATAAAATACAGCAATATGAAAGTTCATAATTATTCTTATAATACACTTAATACAGTGTTTTCTACTATTAGACTAATGGATATAACAGGGCAAAGGAGAGAACCACACAGAATGTTTAAATATCATTACATTTTAATTAACACTCAGCTACTATATACCATGTAAATTTATGTTACAAACATGTAAGTGCTTAGACTGTTGGTTGAAGCTCACCTAAAATGAAGCAAGATCCTGCATGATGAAATCCATAAGATAATGCATACATGTGCATGAATGAAGGCACACCCCCACATGAGACATTTCTTCAATATCACAGATTAAAAAAACCAAAAACATTTTCTCAGACTTGAATACCTGGTGCTGCTATTAGGTTTTCCAAATATGAGGGAAAATCTAGCTTGCTTGTGAAATGCTTAAAAGAAAAAAATGTCTAAGCTGCAAGTGCAGACACAGTTTTTTCTATAAAGGAACATACTAAATTTTCTCTTCAATAGTTTTTAACACAGCTCATGCAATTCTAAATTGTTAAATGAGGTAACTGCAGGAATACTGATT